CGGGTAACCAAGTTCCGCTCAAGGACAAGGCGGGTAACGTAGTTCTGCACGAGATCGAGAAGATCGGTGGTGCCGTCAAGGCCGCGCCACGAGACGAAGACACCCGAGGGTCACGTCGTAAGCCGGGCCTAGTCGTGTGGCCGACGACGCTAGTCGCCAGCGACTCCGAGCCTCCAGCCAAGGCTCCAGCCGCCGAAGAGTGTTATCACATCTTCGACGGCGTGACCGGTCGTCGGGTCAAGACAGGAGCTGTCGAGCTTACAGCTCTGCCCGAGGTTTCAGAGTTGCTGAACCTTGAGGAGCTCGCCATGGAGGACTTCTTGGCCGAGCTAAAGGCCGGGGAGATCGCAGAGTTGGTTCTCCTCCGACCGGAGTCCACGTCGGCCGAGTTGAACTCGTCCTCGGGCATGGACCAGGCAGTCCTAGAGGAGTTCCAGAGACAGCGCGCGTCGCGCATGGGCTCTGAGATTCTTAAGAACCCCCGGGACCCGGTGTACCCCTTGGTGAAGGAGTTTGAGGACGTGGTGTCCAAGGATCCACCGTCCAATCTCCCTCCGGACAGGGGAATCAGGCACGAGATCGATCTCTTGCCGGGCACGAAGTACTGTGTCATGAGGCAATGGCCTCTTCCCCGGGAGCAGTGTGAAGTCATTGATGCCTTCTTTGCCGCCAAGGCGAAGGCAGGCATGGTGCGGGAGTCGAAGTCCCCGCACTCGACGCCTACCTTCTGTGTTCGCAAACCGAACGGAAAGTGGTGTCTGGTTCATGCTTATAACAAGCTGAACAGCGCGACGGTGCCTGCGCAGACACCGATCCCGCGCAAGGACGTGTTGCTCAACAACATGGTCGGCTGCACGCTGTATAGCGCGCTGGACCTGGTGGACGGTTACTACCAGATCCTGATGCGCGAGAGCGACATCCCACTTACGGCTGTGAGCACGCCGAGCGGTATGCTCTGGGAGTGGCTGGTCATGCCTCAGGGGCTTTCTAACGCCCCGGCAACGTTCAATCGCTTGGTCACACAACTGTTCCAACCTTTGCGTGCGTTCACACAGACGTACTTTGACGACATCTTCGTCCACAGCCGTGCCGAGGCAGGCCAGACGGCCATGGAGGTGCATCTCCAGCACCTTCGACGTGTGTTCGAAGTCATGCGGGCGAACAAGCTGTACGCCAACATCGACAAGTGTGTGTTCGCAGCTGAGGAGATCAAGGTCCTGGGCTGCTTCGTCAGCAGCGCCGGGGTCCGGGCGGACCCGGAGAAGGTGAAAACCATCGCGGCTTGGCCGCCACCTCGGTCGCAGAAGGACCTACGACAGTGGTTGGGCCTCGCCAACTACCTGCACAAGTATAGTGCAGGCTACGCCGAGCTGGCACGGCCCTTGTCGGATCTCCTGAAGAAGGATGTCGACTGGCGCTGGGAGCGTCACCATCAAGATGCTTTTAACGACATCAAAGCGAGCTTACAGCGCGCGCCAGTCCTGGCATTGCCGGACGAGACGAAGCCTTTCAGCGTAGTCTGTGATGCGTCTGACTACGCAATTGGCTGTGCGCTATTGCAGGCCGACGATGAAGGCCGCGAACGGGTCATCTCGTTCCAGTCCAGGCAGCTCAAGGCATCCCAACGGAACTATCCAGTCCACGACAAGGAGCTACTTGCCATGAAGTACGCTCTTGTCAAGTTCCGAGTCCACCTCCTGGGCTCGACGCCCTTTGTCGTTTATACAGACCACGCGTCCTTGCGGACTGCCGTCAACACGCCGCATCTCTCACAGCGGATGGCGCGTTGGCTGTCATTCTTCACGGAATACAACTTCCGTGTCGAGGACAAGCCGGGCAAGTTGAACGTGCTTGCCGACGCGCTGTCGCGCCCACCCGACTACGAGCTTGCTCATATTAGTCGGGTCACGACGGATCTGTATGAACGCATCAGGCTGGGGTACCGAGACGATGCCAGTCTCGGACCTCTTGTGCGGTTCTTGACCGCTGGCTCGGAAGCCAATGCCGAGTGGCTCACGCCCCGACAACGTGCAAGGCTGCACCGCTATGAGTGGGCTGACGGTTTGCTCCACTATAGGGTCGAGCCCGAGGATCCTCCCCGTATTGTCGTGCCCAACGACGAGGATCTCAAGTACGACATCCTGATGGAGGCGCACGACGCTCCATCCAGTGGCCATCTCGGCCGTGAGGAGACGTACGCGTCTGTCTCGCAGATGTTTTGGTGGCGTCACATGTACAAGTGGGTCGCCACCTACGTCCGTACGTGCGAGACGTACCAGCGCGTGAAGCCTGCCGGTCACGCCTCGACACCATTGCAGAGCCTGCCGGTCCCAGCGGACTGCTGGAAGTCGATGAGTCTCGACTTTGTCTTCGGACTTCCGGCCGATGACCGTGGCAACACTGGTGTTGTTGCCTTCGTGTGCCGTCTGAGCAAGATGGTCCACTTTGCTCCAGTTCGTGACATCGTCACTGGCGACAAGGTCGCTCGCCTGTTCATGGACTGTGTCTTCCGACACCACGGTCTGCCCGAGACCATTGTCTCTGATCGAGACCCGCGGTTCACCGCTACGTTCTGGCAGACGCTGTTTCGCCTTCTCGGCACACGACTGTCGATGTCGACGGCGGACCACCCGCAGACGGATGGCCAGACGGAGCGCGTCAATCGCGTGCTCGAAGACACGCTCCGCAGTATCTGCGCGGAGATGCCCCGCTCTTGGGCTGATCGCTTGCCCATGGTTGAGTTCGCACTCAACAATGCGGTACATGCATCGACGGGCTTTACGCCCTTTAACCTGAACGGGTTGCGCCACCCTCAGGTGCCGCTCACATTACGAGGCAGTACCGGGGCTTCGGTCCTAAGTAGGGGAGAGGCTCGGAAAACCTTTTCCTCCCAAGTCTCGGACGTGAGTCCAGCCGCCTTGCGGAAGCAACTGTCCTCGTTTGCCGAAGACAGGCTGAACATAATCAGCAGGGTGCGAGACACCATGGCGCAAGCCCAAGATAAACAGAAGGAGTACTCTGACCGAAATGGAAGAGGAAACATGAACGTGTTTAAGGTTGGGGATTTAGTTCTCCTAGATATTAGAAACCTACCGCTAAACACTGTTAGCTCGGTCGAGAGCAACAAGCTGAAGCACCGCTTCATTGGACCCTTCACGGTCCTCAGCCGGCATGGCGCGGCGTACACCATAGACTTGCCCAAGTCGATGACGACTCACCCGACGTTTTACGTGGGTCGTCTTAAGAGGTACCATGACCCTCTGGCTCTGGCTGCCCCGCAGGAAGCGGTGGGTGGCCCGGTGGAGAAGAGCGCAGCTCCTCGAAGCGCGGCGTCGGGTCGCGGTAAGGCGCCTGATACGCGCGCTGGTCGTAAGACGGCGCGGCGTACATCGGAGCAGCATACGCATACGCAGGGGCCCCGAACGAGCCCTGGCCAAACTGGGCCTGATACGAGTGGGGCTGCTGCTGCTCCGGATACGGCGCGTGGCCATGAAGCTCGGCCCGAAGGCCAGCGAGGTGGTTTCGCAGCGAGTCGTAAGACGACAGGTCGGCTCGACGATCCACACGGCCATGGAGACTGCGAGTTTCTTGATAGAGCGAGGCAACATCCTCACGGAGCCGCTCCACGGCACCAGGCTGACCAGCACGAGCGGCAGCCTCGCCACCAAGGCCGACGCCAAGCGCGATCTCGAGGACGTACACACGGTCCTGGAGAAGACGAATCTCCTCTTGCTGCAGGGCCACCACCTGACTCGGGGCCCCAGCATACGGCTGCGTCGCCTTAGGCTCGTAGCCATGGCCGTGCGAGGCCACCGCCGGCCCTCCTTGATCGTAATGGGCAGATCCACTACCACGTGGAACGAGTCGTCCGGGAGCGGCTCCATGGCAAGCGCCAGCTGCTCGTGAAGTGGAGGGGTTACCCTGAGTCGGATAACTCGTGGGAGCCCGTTGAGCAGCTCCAGGCAGACTGCCCGAAGGCTGTTGCGATGTGGGACGAGAAGCAGCGGCAGCTTCGTAAGTAGTCCTTGGCTTCTTGGCCGGTACCCGGGGTACGGTAGCAGACGTAGTCGCACCACGCCCACGCTCTTCACGAGCTTTGGCTCTCGCCTCTTGCTTCAGCTCGTCCATCTTCGAGTGGAGCTTGCGCTTGCTCACGAGTTGAGCGAACTCGATGCGGAGCTCGCGCACGTCCAGAATGGCGGACAGAGTGCGATCCTCACGGAGTTCTTTGAACTCTTGGTCGGAATACCCTTTGCGCTGGACGTAGCGCCAGAAGAGGTTTTCCACCTCGCTCCAGATCATGTTGTCATTCGGCTTGACCCAGTGGAAACCCCACACAGGATGGAGTCCACCCTTGTCCTCCGCCTTCTTGCGAAGCGTGGTGAACTCCTTCAGTGTGAGCTTGTGTTGTGCTAGTAGCACACACCGGGCGACTTCAACGTCGCCAAGAAAGAGTGGCTCTTTCTCAACAAGGGCACGCTCATAGGAACCCCTCGAGGTGTACCCGCCGATAAGGCCACGAGGAGCCGAGAGCTTCTCCAACAGCGCTGGCGCACCAGTGCCAGGCTCGGGCGGGAAGTAGTCCCGCGGGTACGTGGCATCCCCGCCTGAAGAAGACTCGATGGCAGTCGTGGCAGTCGGCTGTCTGGCATACGCACCCGAGCTAGCCGCGTGGTATTGCTGCTGTTGCTCGTCGAGGTTGTTGGAGAGCTCCTTGGGCTCGTGGACGGCACCCTCCTCGTCCTCAGACTCCGAGTCGATGAACAGCTTGGAGCTGGAGCCGCGAGGCGACCTGGAAGCTGAACGCTTCGCCTTGGCCTCGGCGGCCTTCGCAGCGACAGTCGCTTTCGACGCTTGGGCACGCTCACGACCTTGTGCCAGCGTCAGATGCTTGGATGCCAGCACCTCCTTGGGCTTGGAGCCCGCGTCGCTCGGCGACTTCTCGGCCACGACCCCAGCGTCGGCCATAGCGACTTCGTCGTGCGACTGCATGATGTCGCCTGAGCCGGACTCGGCGTCCTCCGCCTCCTTCTCTGACGAGGCCTTTGCGTCGGCCGAGGCGTTGGTCATGTCGCCTGCCGCCAGCTCCGTGCCTTCGGCAGCGTGCGTGCTGCCCTCCGAGACGTTCTCGCCGTCGGGTGAACTCTCACCGGTGTACTGGACCATCGTGCAGTCAAAGACGGCGGCTTCCCAGTCGCGAGCCGGGCTTTTATGGCCCCGAGGACTCTCCTCCTTGCCTTGCGCGGCGTCAGGAGACTTGCTCCGAGCCCCTGCCTAACGGCCACTCTCCAGCGTGCTGCTACGAGAGCGCACTACCTCCTCGGCCGCCTTCGTGGCCTCCATCAGCGCGGACGGCTCGTCCTTGGCCTTGACCGCCCTGGTCTTTGGCCCTACGGCCCGCGGTTTCGGAGGTACTTTCGCACTGCGCGCACTGCGCTTTGGAGGCATGCTTCCGGTCGACGTGGAGACCCTGCGGCTTGCTCGGCGATACGCCAGTTGCTCTGTGAGGCCCGGGAGCCGAGGCGCCAGAGCTCGCGCCGTTGTCGATGGATTTCGACTTTGCGAGTGAAATGTGAGTCGCCGGCGTAACCTCGCTCTGATCGGTCGATAAGATCGAATCTAAGTGGGGGAGGATGTAACGGGGTTACATGGAACAGTGACCCTGTCACTATTCCGGGATGGCTACATCGGTCACTCCCCTGGATAGTGACCCAAGTGGCCTCAGAGCCAACAGATACATTTTGTATGACACAAACTATAGGGAACTTAGGATTTGTATGCAGGCCAAATCTGTACCAACCTATAAATACATTCAGTCTTAGATCTATCGCTTTTCAAGTCAAGTCGTCCCCTTCAGACCAGGGACACGTGAACGGCTGTTCACTTGGAGTTTGTATACTCCTGCTTCCTATGTTAAGGAGTTCTGTGTGCCCTGTCACAAACGTGTTCGGAATCACAGACAGTGCGTCAATTTTACAGAAGCATAAACCGAACGTTATGTTTCTCACAACGACAGCTGTAGTGTGTAACCTTTGCTGGTAACAGATAAAGGTTACGCTCAAGGGTTACTCTTTATAAAGTCATAATTTCGAAACAATGACTATTAGATTAACGAAGTTTTTTTTTAAACAAAAATATTTTATAGTCAAGCGCATTAGATAAAAGCTAACCAAACAACACACGCCGAACATACCTAAGGTTCCGTACGTATATTTAGGTATAATATCCACCGTATAAGTGTGGCAGGGTGGCAGCTAGACCCATAGATTTAGTTTTACATCACAAATAGGGTTTAGAGCGCTTGTAAATGAATATATAGCGGCGGGAGGGGGGTATGTACACTCCTGGCCAAATTAATCCGGCCACCCCTTAAAATTCCCACAACTCGATCAATTTGGCTTATTATGCTGTGCGGTTTTGACATAAGTACCAGAACACGGTGCAAAATGCGTGACATGTGTTAACGTCCGCGTTTTTGCATTCTAACGAGTGGCTCAGATACAAAAAACTGTTTTTGCAGGGTGGTCCCAACTTCCGGCCACCCCATCCCAATACAATATCCTATACTAATTGAATGCTTTTACAGAGTGAAGGCCATACTAATGACTTAAGATTTGTATCGGCAGGGTTTGTGCACCCCAGAAAGCCTTCTTCCCGTAGTGCTACAGGGCAATGGATGACTGCAGCGGCAGCTAGTTGGGTTGATAATGTCGTACGCGAAGTCAGAACGAGTATTGAGGCTTCAGTGGGAGTAGACAAGAAAAAAATCGACTCGTCGCCTTACGATCAAATCTTCCCATACAAGTCAAATTGACGTTACGAAGACGCTACTATACTTTTCGTTGGCATCTAGATCTCCCTCAAACTAACGCGAGCGCCAGCGAAATTTTCTAGGGCTGTAGTTTACACGTAAGCTTGGCCGGCCAATGCCTTCGTACTTCTCTAGGACACGATTTACTCCGCCTAGGGGCCGTATAAACCCGGCTGATACAAATCTCAAGTCATTAGTATGACCTTCACTCTGTAAAAGCATTCAATTAGTATAGGATATTGTATTGGGATGGGGTGGCCGGAAGTTGGGACCACCCTGCAAAAACAGTTTTTTGTATCTGAGCCACTCGTTAGAATGCAAAAACGCGGACGTTAACACATGTCACGCATTTTGCACCGGGACCATCCCTCCAGCCTTCTTACGCCCTTTCGCATACCGGTAGCAGTATCCGGTCCGGCGCTGACGAAGCTAGCTATATGTACACCATAAGTCACTTCATAACATGATGATATCATATATGCGGCACGGAATGCATGTACCAATGTTCCACGCCACCACTCAACGCTCAGCGCGTCCAAATACGTCGTGAGTCTGTCACCACTTGAGTAAGCCTAACAGCAATGCTCTGCCAGCGCCGGAGATGTAGCAGTAGTCTTCCTCATGTACCCCGCGGCGGAAGACAGATGCTGGAAGTGGCGAGGAAGTTGATATTGCATGTACAGAGGCTCTGCAAAAAAACCACCAACAGTTAGTTACCAACAGTATTTGTGTGGTGCTCTAGAGCAAACACACCGGCATCACACGGCTACACTATTACCTACAGTGGTACATGTCCCCCCTATAGCTCTCGCGTCGCGCCGACGGCTCCCCTTTTCACCCACGGACTCATAGTTGATAACCCCGCCAGAAATCGTATCTGCGTATATGTACACCACAACACACACCATAACATGTTGTATATCGTACATGTGGCAGAGTAATGTACCTACCAATGTTCAGCCCGGACACCCAAGCTTTCAGCGAGCTGTTAGCCTTCTTGCGTCTCGTATGTGTGATCACCGAGTGGCTCATGTCCAGCGCAGAGGTAAGAGCAGGAAAATCATGCTGACCGGGCGACGGGCACTAGCGCTGCGATGCCTCGAGTCTGTCGCTCTATCAGCTCGGCTTCACCTACAACGTTTCTCAGTCAGTCGCCTGCCAGACATACGCGGCGCTTACGGCAAGCCCCCCCCTGTCGTCACGCACCTGTTGTTATCTTTCCAGACGCACTTGGAATGCTTGCCTTTTCGCTGCGAGCCTCGCGATGTCGACGTTTGCTATCAGTTTCTTTTTCTCGACAGAACGGAGGGGGGCGTTTTGCCGCCACTGATTTGCAGTCTGGTCGCAAATCTCAGCAATCAATCAGCGCCTCCCGCTGGGGCTGGCTTTGTAATTTTTGATCGTTTTCTGCAAATATTTTCACCTACACCTTTGCACACCATGCATAATTTGGCGAGATGTACTTTTTCATAACATGTAGTCATATACAACGTATGAGTGCGAGGGGGGGGGGGTTAAACTCGGCGGTGGCGCAGCTCCCGACGAGTTGCTTGACCGCAATCATTGGCGACCGTTACGCAGTGTACGAGATCTGACGGGCATAAACTAAGACTAAAGGTGGTCATGTGCGGCGTATGTTTGTGGATTACCTATTGGTCGGGCCAAACGCTGTGGTTCTCATCCCGCGTGGGCATCTTTCTCCACGAGTTTTGCTGTCCCTGGCAACCTTATCACCAGGTGACACAGGGTGGAATGGCCCACATTTCGGAATTATACATTTGCTAATAATAGGTATGCTGTTTGGGCGTACCTCCTGGCCTCAAAATTTGTTTGAACCGCGTACGGTTGCGTTGTGGGGGAAGAGGAAGGGAAGGACATGCCTCTCCCTTTTACAGCATGCAAAACAAACAAGTATTCATCGAGTTGAGTGCTCATTTCCAAAGGTGCTCAAGTCCCATAGTTAGGAAGGCAAGCTAAGCCAGAACAGCTGGGCGACTACGAGTGCAAGTGTATGGCGGAACCGAGCCTGCGCGCGACCGCGCCGTTCTCCATCAATATTGTTAGTTGGTGCAATGTTAAAGGCCTTAACCCTAGCTAAGGACGTGAAGAGCCCAACGAGCCGATCGCGACGTTCAACTTGCGTTATCTTGCTCGCCTTGGCGGGTAGCTGTTCTGAATTTAGTATCGGAGTCAGATGGTAGTAATTTGTATGGCAATACATCCGGTAGCTGATTTTCATTTGGTTTCAGTATGACATTCCGTTTCGCGCCGATTTTGCCAAAAAGGCTGATTCTATTGAAAACGTTGGACAGAAGATGGATAACAGATGGATAGTCATTGGACGACAAGTCCAACCATTTCGAATATTGAGTTGAGTGTATTTGAGGTTGTTCCTGTTTGGCGACTCAATTGAGCCGAAAACGTTGGACCGTGTACACAATAATGTGTGGCAATTGTAGGTTCGCGGGCAGCATTGAAAAGCGGGATAAAGCAAGACGCTGAAGCTAGAGAAGCAAGCACTGGTGAACCATGGCACGACGTTACCCAAGGACCATCACGGCGCTGGGTTTCGTAAATGGACGCTTAGCGCCGTAGCTTCGTGCTGGGTGCCGTAACTTGGCGCATGTAAGGATCGCATCGTGCCGGTGGCTAAGCGCAGGAGCAGAAGGCCCGCCAATCCACATGTTTGGCTGGAAGGGTGCAGCCAATGCCTAGAAGACGCACTGTGAGCTGAGAAGAGCACGATCTTCACACAACACGAGCACGAGATTTTGCCGCTGTCGTAGTCAAAGAGCCAGCACAGCAAGACAGACCTTGAGTATCAAGATGAACGAGGATTCCGTCATTAGAAGAGCAACCAAGAGCAGAACCATGGTGTGTAAACTAATCCGAACGACTAACATGTATTGACTTGCATTAACGATCTATCTCTGGGTGCGCGCCATGGCGATGGGGTCTCCAGGGCCGAGCAACCGCCGCACGTCGAATTCCACGTGGCTGGATTTGGCCCCCTGGAATTGGTGGCTGTGAGGCAAAAGCTGTAATGACGGTAATAAAAAACGGGATAAATTATCTCTGGATAATACCTGCCGTCAGATCTGAATAATACCTGTTGTACAAAACCTGGTCGCGAAGCTTGCCAATCGAAGATGGCGCCTCACCGATCAACTCCTCAAGGCGTGGGTGAACCCGCAGCTCGTGGCGGGGCTTGGTCGAAGGAGCCGCCATCTTCGACCACGGGATCACAGTTGTGTCGGGAGCTGCCCAAATCGGACACGACCGTCCTGATGGCTCATGGCGACGCTGAACATGGCCCACATTTTAAACAGCGCATCAGGCGCAATCTTAACAACACTATGTTTTAAACGAACCACCACATTTTCAGTCAAGTAAAGTGTGTGCGAAAATGTAACTTTTGGTTCGTTTAAAACATTGTGCTTTCGACAGTTTTTGTTTGTTTAAAACATTGTGTTTTACCAATTTTCGACAGTTTTTTTGTGGCCAATAGGTACTTTGCTGTTAACGGGAGATTTGAATTCGACAAGGCGGCACGACCATTCGGATCCGCCGTGTATCGAAAGTCTGCACCCTTTCCGGCTTGATTGAAGAGCCAAACGCGTGAACGTTTCGACAAAAT